GTCCACCTACGATGTTGCCTTGGTCTGTCAATCTCCTAGTGGATCCTGCCGACAACGCCAACTGTTATGGAAATATTTATTTAACAAAGACAGAAATACATGGTCCAAGAATGAAGGAAGTCCATGGAATGATCAGCTGAGTTTTATTTGCAACAACAGGAACACAGAGAACGACATCAGACTGCCCCCTGCTCTCTGCTCCCATTTCTGCTTCTGAGGCAGCTGAGGCCACATATATACTGTTTAACAAATACCATTATGTCATCTTAATAAAGCAAGGTTTCATCCTAAGGAAATGCTGGGTCAAGGAAAAATACAAAGATAAACACAAGTGRTATCTAAGAATGATTGTTGTTAGCASATCTTGTTCTGACTTTAATCATTCTATCTGCTGATAAACAGCATGTCATGAAAACTTAGGTCATTAAAGTATGTCATGAATTACTGGCTTGAACCTAGAAGTATTATTTCCATCAATTCAATTCAGTTCAAAATTCAAAAATACTTTATTGATCCCAGAGGGAAATTAGGTAATCACAGCTTCTAAAAGGTTTAGTTTTAAATAGACTTAGCTGTGTTGTTTGACTCCTCCATTTCTTTACTGGTTTACTTAGGGACCTGCCCTGCYGTACTGAATATGGCGTTGACCCAACGGTAAGCACACATTCAATGAGCACACCAGCTGAACATTTGTTCATACACAGCCTGACCCATACATGTCAACCCCTATGGAYGTTTACCTGTATAATGAGCCCCAAAAATCCATAATTTTTGCTAAAACAAAATCTGTACTACTTGCACCCGTGCGAGGGTGGGGTGCTGTCGGCCGGGGAGGTGACAATGTCTGCTGCAAAGCAGGAGGGACGGAGAGCAGAAGAAGTGGATAACTTATTTCTAATCTTATTTCTAGCAGAAGAACAGGTTGGAAGATGGTTGCTTGATGTCATTAGTTTTAAAAAGTTCTACAGGCTCAGACATGTTAAATTAATTTGAAATTGTGTTTTTGAAAAAAAAATCCATAAAACTTGAAAAAAAATCGAAAATAGAGTCCATCTCTCCAAAAGCAAGCTATCTCGTTTTTATCCAGAAATCACATACTGTGACAAATGTAAAACTGCTGTGGCCACACTGGTCCATATGTACTGGTCCTGCCCTGCACTCGGTCAGTTCTRGACAGATGTTTTCCATACAATGTCCAGGCTGGCCGGAGTGGCAGTAACACCTAGCCCTCTCTTGGCTCTTTTTGGCTTCAGTGGTGGGGGGTTGCCTATACCAGCCTTTAAACGACAGGCACTGGCATTTTGTTCGCTGTTAGCGAGGCGTACAGTTCTGACCAGGTGGAAAGGTGCTGCTCCTCCGACTCACAAGCAGTGGTTATGTGACCTTATGTCGTGTTTGAAACTGGAAAAAATTAGATGCTCTCTCCAACACTCAACCAGTAAATTTGAAAAAACATGGGRGCCCTTTCTTGACTCATTTCAGAACATGCAATAATGTTCCAGATTAATTAAGTTAATTCTTTTTATTAGAATACGTTCCATTTCTGCCAGGGATAGGAACGTAGTGCGTGGATCTAGTGTCCTGGGTGGGCTAAATGGGATTACTTTGTAGGGATTAATTTTCTGTATATTGTACTATTTTTTTCCTTTTTTTTTTTTTCCTTTTTTTGTATCTGTGTTGGATAAACACTTCTTTGTATTCACAAACTGTATGTATAAAAGGAAAAACACTTGATAAAAAGACAGTGATTAAAAAAACTTGAAAAAAATCAGTGAGATTGCTCTATACGTCCGAAAAATTATGGAAAATCCATATAAATTACGGACAATCTGTACAACTTGACCAACCCAACTGCACATTCAATGCATGTGTATTTGCAGTTCTGGCATTGTTGCACATATTTTATATCTGATATTCTTTTTTGTTGTAATTTTTTTGGAATTTTTGTAATCTTTGAGTATATTTATTTGTTTTATCTATATTTTTGAATAGACCGGGACCTTGGGTACAGAATTTCATTCCACCACATGTATGTGTGTTGCGAATGACAATAAAACTTCCTTGAATCCTTGAAATGTGGAATCAGCCAATCACATGGCAGCAACTTAATGCATTTAGGCATGTAGACATGGCCAAGACGATCTGCTGCAGTTCAAACTGAGCATCAGAATGAGGAAGAAAGGTGATTTAAGTGATTTTGAACGTGGCATGGTTGTTGGTGCCAGAAGGGCTGGTCTGAGTATTTCAGACATTACTGATCCACTGGGATTTTCACCCACAACCATCTCTAGGGTTTACAGAGAATAGTCAGAAAAAGAGAAAATATCCAGTGAGCAGCAGTTCTGTGGGCACAAATGCCTTGTTGATGCCAGAGGTCAGAGGAGAATGGCCAGACTGGTTGGAACTGATAGAACAGCAACAGTAACTCAAATAACCACTCGTTACAACCAAGGTCTGCAGAAGAGCATCTCTGAACACACAACATGTCGAACCTTGAGGCAGAGGGGCTACAGCAGCCGAAGGCCACAACAGGTGTCACTCCTGTCAGCTAAGAACAGGAAACTGAGGCTACAATTCACACAGGCTCACCAAAACTGGACAATAGAAGACTGGAAAAACGTTGCCTGGTCTGATGAGTCTCGATTTCTGCTGCGACATTCGGATGGTAGGATCAGAATTTGGTCAACAACACGAAAGCATGGATCCATCCTGCCTTGTATCAACTGTTCAGGCTGGTGGTGGTGCAATGGTGTGGAGGACATTTTCCACTTTGGGTCCATTAGTACAAACTGATCATTGTGTCAACGCCACAGCCTGAGTATTGTTGCTGACCATGTCCATCCCTTTATGACCACAGTGTACCCATCTTCTGATGGCTACTTCCGGCAGGATAACGTGCCATGTCTTAAAGCGTGAATTATCTCAGACTGGTTTCTTGAACACAACAATGAGTTTACTGTACTTGAATGGCCTCCACAGTCACCAGATCTCAATCCAATAAAGCACCTTTGGGATGTGGTGGAACACGAGATACACATCATGGATGTGCAGCCAACAAATCTGCAGCAACTGTGTGATGCCATCATGTCAATAAGGACCAAAATCTCTGAGGAATGCTTCCAGCACCTTGTTGAATCTATGCCATGAAGGGTTAATGCAGTTCTGAAGGCAAAAGTAGGTCCAACCCGGTACTAGCAAGGTGTGTGTATATTCTCCTTGCTCTCCATCAGTTTGGGGTCCCAGACTGAAAAACATTGAAGATTCCAGATTTCACTTATTCTTATTCTAAAATTATTTAAATAACCTCAACTGTATAAAAACACACAGATTCATCCAAGTTAATATAATATTTATTAAACAAAAAATTTGAAGCCAAACAGGAAAAAGTTGTGTGAAAAACTGTCCATCCTTTTTTACAGGATTGAGAGAGAGAAAGTTCAGGTGATGATCAATTGTAGTGATTAACTGATCATCATCAATGTGAACACTTTTATAAAAAGCGTGAGTTTTGTTAGTTTGTTTACCTGGAGCACACAGGTGTGTGATAACACAATGCCAAGGAGGAAAGACATCACAGCAAAACCCCATGATGACATGGTTAAAGACTATCTTTATCCAATATCAGTTTTGTGTTRTTTTGAAAAACCACATGGACTACGAAAAACTCTTAATGATGAATATTTTTAATACAATAACAGTGTTTCTCAAACTGGATCTTAAACCAAATTGTTTTAAATTCAATAGACATCATGCAACAGACAGCTGTGTCTCTTAGCAGATCTTAAAGCTYGTCAGTTTGAAATCGCCTTTCACTCGAACGTAGGTGATGACATCCATACCAACACGATTAGGAAACTGGACTTCTTGTCCATCAGGAAGCTCTACTTCAAACTCATCTCCAGACAGCTTTAACTCAATCTAAAATAGAAAAAAATAGCATTTTATTCTTCAATAAATACATAAATCCCAACAATAAGTATAAGAATAAAAATAAGAATATACAGTATATGACCAGAAAATTGTTTAGGTGTGCATAGTTGCACTAAATAAGAACTTGGACTAAAGATCTGAAGCAAGACTTTCTTTGATATGTTTGCCATCTTTTTTGGCTTCTTCCTCACCTTTACATCACTGCCCCTCTGTAGAGGATTGTGTATTTCCCGTTTCTCATCGCCCCAACATCCAGCAACCTTTGAGTTGCACACAAGGACAGCTCCATCCGAGTCATCATCAAAACGGGGRTTAAAGTGCAGCGCCAGGTCATCTGAGTCACGGCCAAGGTCAATCTGGAATCTGAGCAGGTCATTGATTAGATTTGCTTTAAGTGCTTACTGAGACCAGAGGCACATATTTAACAGTAAAGTAAAAAAAATACTAGACTTATAAGAACTAACATTTTGGGGGGTTGATTTGAATTTTCTAACTGCTGAAAAAACTTATAGGCTACATGAATATCTAAGCTGTTCCTGATATTAACATAACATATGAAAATAGTATCTGAATTGTTTAAATTTATGAATTAAAAATAAATTAATCTTTTGCTAAACTCAACCAATGATACTGGGAGCAGATGTTACAACGTCTCTTAGTTCTGGGGTCTAATTGGTTGATATTTAAAGGAGACATAATGCAAAATTCAATGTTTTGGCTGTTAGTTATATTTTGTTGTTTACATGAAGTGACAGAACATTAAAATGCAGTCTATCCTTGTGGTTCGAAGATACCTTTATATTCTGTTTCGGTCATTTTTTTCCCAACCCTTTCAGTTTTTCACCATTTTTGCTGATGTTTTCTGAACAGTATGTAACAGTATTGGTGACAGAACTGCCAAATCTGGTATCAGCTACAATTTTGTCATTTTCTTTTGCTTTTGCTTTTGGGTCAGACTCTGGCTCCAACATGTAAGGCTGGATGAACAAGTCTTCTGTTGTTGACATCATTTACTTAATTTGTGAATAAAACGTTTCTGCGCTGCTACAGTCGTAAAACTCTCTATAAAACTGAGACCCAAACTGAATGATTTAAATGTGAAAACAGAGGATACAAAAGCAGGATATGTCTTCTTTAACAAGCACTACGAGTTTCTGCTGATACTTTGTAGCCCAGAGAGCATGTTGTTCTTTGACAGGACTTGTAACTTTTTATTTGTTGGACAATCGATCGATCGATCGATCAACACGATTGATCGATTGATTGATTGATGCCATTGGCCTATGAAGTTTTTGTTGGACAGTGTTTCAACTTTAGGCTTTAAACCCACTTAAGGTATTCACAAAATGATCTGAATCACACTTACACAGACAATAAAATAATTTCATTTTTTGACTTACCTCTCAGCATCGTGCAGAATTTCCCCCTTTAGTTTCAGCTTGTCACCAGCTCTCAGGTTCACGTTCTTCAGTTCAAGCTGCTAAATAAAATATATTGGTAAAAATTGCATTAGTCATAGAGGCGCTTATTGAAGAATGTCTTTTTTAAACATTTTTTTTAAACATCCTTTTTAAACACTTTGCTTTTTGTAAATGAAAAGTTACAGGATTCGATTAATCAGCATTTTAAAATGTATTGTTACAGAAAAGCAGGCACAGATTAAACTTACCATGCTCATACTGAGTGCTACTCGACAGCTGTGGAAGAAGCAGGAAGATGATCTTTAGACACTGACAACTTTGCTTCATGGGCAACAAAAAGTGGTGTGACTGTCAATGTTCACACAAGAATACCACATGACTTAATTTTTTACAGTCTAACTCAATCGTATCATCCTCACGACTGTCACAAAAGGTCCTTTTAAATGCCAATATAACTGTTTAATCATTGCTTTAAAACTCCTTTTGTAAATAATACAACCAGCATTATTGATCCCTAAATAGTCATTGAGTAACAGGAGTCCTTGTGGTCAGACACTGTTTAATTATTTYTAGAGAGGGATCCATTTATTAACCAAGAAAATGAAAAAGTCATTGTTCACTATCAAGCCAAAACATCTATTGAATTTTGTTGCAATTCAGGAGATATTCAGTCAGTTTCGGTACAAACGCTGCATCTTGTCAGATGCTCTAATGAATTTAATTAGTCTGATTCCACCAAAATGACAATACACATTTTTTAAAGTTATTTTGTTAGATATGTGGAATTAAAATACGATACAGTATTTTGTTTTGGTACTGACTAATTTTATCATCAACCGTTTAGTTAAATTGGATCATATTTTTCAGCTAAATGTACCACTCTTTTGAGCAACAATCACAATAAAATGGAGTATGGATATTTAAAGTAAAACATCATAAATGGCTGTTATAATTGCAAACCATTTGTATCATCAATGAGTCAAACACCATTGAGGAATTAATGTTTTTAGTGCAACATTTTGAAACATGAGGGGTTTGGAAATGATTAAGGAGAAGATGGTGTATCATGGTAATAGATTACAACATTTAAAAAAAGCTTTGTTACAATACGACATAGCTAGAAAAAATAGTTTTATGCGTTTTGTGTATTTTATTTAAACATGTTCTAATTCTTTTTTTGCCATAAGAAGGCAACCTATATCCACAAACACATACAAATGTTCATACCCCCTCCCCCTTTTTTTGGGCAAATGTGGCAATGCTTGCTGTCATTTAATTACACTAAAATATACTTTGAAAAACAAACTTGATTGAATAGGTTTTATTT